CAGCTGCAGCCCTTGCCTCCCTTCGGCAGGCTCAAGAGGCACACCCGTAGTACATAGGAGGTTCCCATGCACTTCACGGGTAGGTAGTTCAGTAGGCACGAGGTAGTCTTCAGGAGATCGGCCGCAGCACTCAGGAGGAGCGTTGCAGTAGTCTTCAGCGCTAGTAGTAGTAGCGCTAGCTGTAGTCTTCGGCGCTGGGTGCCATAGCTGTAGCTGTAGTCTTCAGCGCTGGGCGCTGGTAGGTGGTAGATCGTGGAGTGGGAGAGAGACTGTCGGAGGCCAGTGTTACTTACCTGTGGCGCCATCGCTCCAGCTCCATCTTCGTGGTACCTGCACCAAGGCGCCAACTTCACAGGTTAGTACTGGACACAGAGAGAGAGAGAGAGTTCTTCTTCTTCCTCTTCTAAGTCCACCTGCTCTTCTCACCCTCTCGCCACCTGACTTCTCAGACTACGACAGAGAGAGACAGAGTTGTGACTCGGGACTTGACGACATTGGATCCAGACTTGACACTTGGGATTCAGACATTTCGACGAGGGACTATTTGGGCTTGTGCCGAAGACTTGGTGTTGACGACATTCCCATCTTCCCCCTCCTCTTCGTCTATCCCCTTCCTCTTCGTCTGTGTATGGTACGGGCTGGCGCTGTCTTCCTGTGTGAAGCGCCAGGCCCATTCACACCATGTAACGATGATGATGATGTATGTTCAGGGCTGCATTGCAACATTGATTGTTCGGATCACTGGTATCTAAGTCTTCCGTTGTGCTATCTTATACTTTGTATTGAAAGGTCGGTTCTTGTTCTGGTCTGCACGTTACAGTATGCAACACTCTTACTGCTGACACAACAACAAAAACAGGTCCACCATAGCTATGGCTTCCCCCCTTCTTCCACCTCTCACAAGCCTAGGCTATGGCGGGCAACTGAGGGCTCTGCCCCTCTCTGTGCAAAGGACAACACAAACCAGCTATGGCGCTGCACTCCTGCCCAAAGGACAACCCAAAGCAGCTATGCCGCTGCTGACTAAGCCGCCATGCCTGACTCTGCCTCGAGCTTCCTTGGTGCGGCACTACCCCAACTGGGGCCTTCCAGATGCAGCGCCCAACAAGGTGATGAAGATGGTGTCCACCATAGCCAGGTAGGTACCTCGCCACTCTCCTCCTTCGCCCCCTTCTTCCTCCTCGTCAGGCTGGGCTGCTCGCCATACCGCAAATGAGGAGGAGCTACTTGCTCCTCCGAAGATATAGCGGCCTACTGGCCTCTTGGGAGATGACTTCCTAGGACGAGCGGCCTCCCAGCAACCGGCACCTCCTCCCTTTGGAAGGGAAACATCATTGCAGGCTCTGCTATCGTCAAATCCAGGTCCAGATCCGGGCCATTAAAAAACGAAACGGGGTGTGTGTGCAAGGCGAGAAAAACTTGAAAAAAACTCAAAAAAAGCTAGGCTACCAGCCGGGCCGCCCGGGTCCCGGGTGGCCAGCCCGTGCAAGGACCAGGGAAGGTCCCAGCGAAAAAAATAATAATATAAAAAAATCCAAAAAATCCAAAAAAAGACTATGTTATGCAGAAAAATAAACTGAACAACTTTTGCCTCAGGGTCACATCGAAAATTTTCACCAAATTCAAAATAAAAAAGAAAAAATAAATTTTTTATTTTTATTTTTATTTTTTTTAATGTTTTTGGCCCGGCCGGGCAAGTGACCCCGGGCCACTCTGGTAGCCTAGAAAAAACGGATAATATCCTGAGTGAGGACGCCGCCCAGCCGGTTGGGCCCGGGGGGGGGGGCGCCCGGGTAAACCGGGCGGACCCAAAAACCGTCCAGGAATATACATATATATTTTTTGAAACCGGGGTCTGCGCTCGGCGAGAGGACCCCGAATCTGCAAT